TTAATTACGAAAAGGAGCTTTGAAGTCGAGGTTGAGGAGGAAATGGTGTCTCGTTTTTAGTTTCTTTCCTTCATAACTTTGTCGTTATTGTGGCATATTTTACCTATCTGCGTGAGTGGTTCTGCGCGCCGGGACTTCACCTGCGTCTCTCCAGAATCTACCAGAGGGTTCCGATCGAATCTCCAGAATCTACCAGAGGGTTCCGATCGAATTGCAAATATTGAACGCATCAGAGCGCCCTTGAGAAGCGCCAAATTCGAGGTTTTCATCCACGGGTCTTCTTGCATTGTTTATATTGTTGCAGCCGTTACAGCCTAACTGAACCGCGGCAACTGCCATTATCAGCTGTCTCGCTCTCATGAGTCATCAATGTCATGGGTTTTTTTTATCAGTGTTGTTCCAGTATTGATTGTATGACGAATTCTCTTCTAAAGGATCGTCAGCAAAGTCTGTCTCCCTGTGGCGCAAGCTAGGGAAAACACCCTAATTCTAAGTTTATTCCTCAGAAAGCGTTTTTGTCACCCCGGCGTGCTGACCCCTTCGACTTCCAACGGGTTTTTCCCATTTATGCGTGACGTATGAGATTTTCTATGAGATCCTGTTTCATTTGAAGAAACTCCCTGAGCAGAAGTTTCGGCGAAGGTGTTCTTCTTGTAGAGACCTGTAAATTCCTGCAAACCTGTGCAAAAGCAGGAGCTTCACATTAGGCGAGGGTCTACAAGTCTCACCAAGTGAGACTTGTAAGTCAAGAGGAACTAACAAAAGAAACTAGCGAAAGTGTGAAATCGTCCAACCGCGCCGCCCCCCCAAGTCGATGAAACGGACGCCGAGCTTCTCTACCTCCCTCTTGGTATAAGCTATTTCCCTTATATTTCAGTCCTTCGTCATTCGATATGGCAATTTCTCTCTTTTTATCAATGGGAATTATAGCTAGTGCACGTGAACTTTCTAGCGTGCGCTCTGAAAATAAATGTTTGAGTCATACAGATGCTCAGATTCTTTCGTAGATAATATGTCAGTCGTTGGTACCGCACAGTCCTATTAGCACAGCACGATTCATTCTCGTTGTGGCCAGCTTTCACTGCACGCTTCGGAAAGGCGGACAGCAGTTGCGTGGATCCTTCCTTCAATGGTTTTGTTTTTCGCGTGGTTGAAGCTTGTTCTAGGCACTTTCGTTACAATTTACGCACAGTTAGGCTGCGTTCATCCTTTGCGTTCTGGGAGACCGACAAGAGTAATGCTAAATTGGCCCGCCTTCGTCGGCGCCGGGATGGGGCGCGACGTTTCCTCAATGTTAGCACACCTCCTTTTCGATAGGGGCATCAGATTTCATGTAAGCAACGATATGGTAGACCCTTATGTCTATTTATGGTCATACATTGTCTTCTCGACCAATATCACCTAAAATCGTCGTCATTAGCGGGCGCGACGTCGCACGCGGCGCCCACTGACGCGGCGGCTTACGATTCCCTTGCCACGTACCCCAACCTTCTGGGCATTTCAAGCGTTTTGGGCGGGAAGAAAAGAATAGGTATCGATCTAGAAGTCTGCTGGAAACCCCTTTTTTCAGCGTTCGGGAGAATGTATAAGGCATCGATCCAATGTTCCGAGCACTTTGAGTGGAAAGGGATGTATATGTGCGTGTGGTTCGACGCTCAAAACGCTAATTCTCTCAAAACGATAATTCGTGTGTTAGATTCTTCTGCTCGGGAACATTTGAGGGACCGTTGAACTCCAACGAACATAGAATCGCAGTCTTTGCAACACAGTCCTGCGCAGTGGTTCAGGAATGTTGGCAAAAATCGACCCTTGGGTGGTAAGGCATTGGTCAGCGTTGCGGTCCAGAGTTTCTCTGGTAACGCGCGTTCGGCGAAAAGCTTTTCGATACGTATCGACCTGGGGCCTTGGGCAGAAAAAAAAGGGTCTTGATACGAATCGAGGGGCGTTTCGCATACCGCGGACGTTTTGTTTCGCCCTTACGACGAACCGGTTGGCTCTATGCGCCGTGGCGTTTTTGGCCTAGTGAAATCTCATACACATCTATTGGCTTTTCGCCACCGCGCTGAACCACGGCGGTCGCGAAACTAGGCGTTGCGATCGATGACTATTTTTCGGCTTTTCTCCCCACCGCTCGTTCGTAGGGTGCGCAAGACCTTTGGAAAACAATGCCATAATGCCGTACCTACGTAGTAGATGGTAGTTGTTCATCTTATCCAGAATAATTCCCCCCCCCGTAGTGGCAGATGGCGCCCGTTTGCTTGCGCGGAAACCATGGTCGATTCCTGGTACGGCTCAAGCCCGGCCAACCAAGCCTTTGATATCTTCGGGTCGTTCAAATTAGTACCAGACTCGTCTGGGAGGATGAAAACACTAAATTATACATGGGCTAGCTCCCGCAACTCACTGTATATCCCATATCTCACTGTATATCCCATATCGCATTTGAAATCTAGTCCTTGGATCGGAATTCCTGGCGCATCCCGGAAAGGGAGTGGTCAACGCCGGACTACTAATCGCTTGTTATGAGAACTACCCATAATGTTATACTTTTTTTTTCCCTGAAATTCGAAGGTACTTCAACGCACTGAATACCATCTTCATTGACTTGAAAGCACGTTCTGGCTTTTTTTTGCGGAAGTGCATTGGTACTAGTGCATTGGCGCAGTTCGGCCATTTGGGGACGGTGGGGGTGGGCATTTCGCTGCTTCTCATTGTCTTGTTAATTCATCCAGTAGGGACTTGTAAAATCTTGTTAATCCTGAAGGAGAACGCACTTATTTGTCGCCAGCGGCTGGTCCCACGCGCGCGCAACTTTGAATTCAAACGCGCTGTGTGCATGTGCACAACACTCTGAACAACCGTAATCTCTCCTGGTCTATTATATACGAACGAACGAATAAACTATGTACTGAATGGATAACCTCTATTTCTCTTATAGTGGCGTAATGCGTCCAACCCAGGTACATCATTGTACCCTCCTGGGTTGTGGGGATTTTGGTCGAATCCGTACGATCCCCCTCCTTTTTTCGGGAGGGAGGGGGCAGGGGTGGGGGGGGAGGGGGTAGTACGCATGAAACAGGAAAATCACGAAAAGTCAACCACCACTTCTAGGAGGCCAAAAAGTAAATACGACCCCTCTCCTCCCCAACAATGAGCAAGTATGGACCCCCCCCCTTTACAATCCGTGAAGCGAGAAAAATCAACTATCAGAATGAATTTTCCTCAGCCCAAATACGACTCCCGCTGTTGGGGATTCCCCACAACGATGTGCCCTGCTCCTCATCGAATCGAGAGGTCGAGAGGGGTGAGGGGGGGGGATAGCACATGTGAAAAGGGAAAAACCGCGAGGAAAATGCGACCCTCCCCTCTACCAACTCTCAGATTTTTTTTTTTTTTTTTTTTTTTTTTTTTATTTTTTTTCCCAACTTCCTGTCCCTTTTTCAAAATTTTCCGAAAATTCTCTACTTTTTCTCGAAAATTTTTTGCTGTTCAGCAGGGGGGGTACGAAATAGGAGAATCAGGAAAAGTCAACCACCGCTATCATCCCACCACTCCTATGAGGCCAGAAAGTAAATACTACCCCTTCCTTCCAATTTTTCTCAGCCCAAATACAACTCCCCTCTCCCGGCGACCAAATATGACCCCCTGTTTGGGATTCCCCAACAATGATGGCCTGATACAACCAGATCTGACTCTCATCCCAGACCAGCCCAAAAAAGATTCCCGAGCTGACAGATCAAGTAGGATGTCTTGTCCTCAAACCATCCTCCTGGCGCTATCTGGCCTCCGGCCCTTTCATAGACTTGGTGAATTTCCTTTTTGGGCTTTGATGGTGAGAATATCGTTAAATTATCGTTACAGCAGTTTGCGATCACAGGAAATCAATAGTTTCATATTACAAAACATCTTATTCCAAACTTAGAGGCAGCCGCCTCTATCCACATATTTTCCAAGGTGTAGGCTCAGAACCAATCAAGATTACGTAGTCATCAAACCAAAAACAAATAACCAAAATGATAACGGAGGACCCAGAATAGAAGGCGCAGCTAGAGTATTGCCGCTGAGCCGGTGTGCTTTTATCTAGCGCTTTCGAGTGGCGAAAGGCCGGTCAATCGTGGACGCTGTCCTTAAGGGACATGAAATAATTGTGGGGTACATACTGCATTCCATTCATTCTATGGCTTGGGGTGTGGGCGCGCAGGACGCTGGAGCCGGCATACATCCTTATTGTGTGGATCCTGGTCCTGGAAAAACATTTTGACTTGTGATTTTAGCCGTTTCAAGTGTGCTACGTACCTCTTGTTTGTCAACAAGATTCAGGGAAAATGTGTGTGAGAAGAGAGGTTGTTGGAGATTATAATGGTGCATTGGGTCGTGAAGAGACCTTCCTTCCATAAGAATGGCGGGGACATGTCCTGCTTGCCCTTGGGGAAAATTTTGCAAAATACGACCCCCCTCCTCAGAAATTTCTTCCACTGGCACGACCTAATTCGCCTATCTTCTTGAGTTTTCCCAAATTGTTATCACTTCTACCAGTTCTCCAAAACATTCTCTAGCCAGAGTACAGCATCGTGATGTGTGAAATGGTGGTGTAGGTACGAGGGTCCGCTGTGCTTTGTCGCGGGGGGGGGGAAAGATAGTACACATGAAATGGTATACAATATACAATATACAATACAATACCAACGGGGAAAAAAAAAGGGGGGGGTCGTGGCGTGGACCCCATTCGGAGGGGGGGTCGTACTCACACCGACATTTCGGGTGTTCAGAGTGTTGTGCATATGCACACAGCTCGTTTGAATTCAAAGTTGCGCGCGCGTGGGACCAGCCGCTGGCGACAAATAAGTGCGTTCATGAATAATACTAGTCAAAGTTCGTAGAAGTACTTGCAGCTCGTGTAAAAATATACTCGTGTCAGGCTCTTGTTAAATGGGCAATTAAAGTGTCCTACAAACACCAAATTCTCCTATGGTAGATTCGACGAACTTCCATACCACTTCACAAGCTTTCAACGGATGTGAAACAAGGTAGATACGCGGAACGTGCAAAGTAGCAAGAAGTGAATATCCCCCCTCCCCTCCCTCACCCGTTCGTCGCTGCTCTGCGCCTGCAGTTGCATTGATTTTAGTGGGTGCTTTTTTGAAGGTTTTTTCCTGGATAATAGCTCGTATGCAAATTGTTTCACAGACTGCAAAAAATCGTTGGTGCTTCACTGATATTACATTTTTATGACTCGCTGAGCTGCGGTTTTCTCCATTTCATGCTTTCTGAGGGTTCAGAAACGACGCGACGTTACAAGAAAGCATGAGAAAGTTGCAGTGGAACTTATCAAACGCGGGGGGGGCTTTCTGCATGTTTCTGGTAATAGGATTCCATATTGACGGCAGTTTCATCTCTGGAAATAGCCGTCAGCCCAGTTTCGAATGCGCCGCAAATTATTTGCAACCTTCCGGTCAAAATTTCGCGATGACGCGATGAATGTTTCCTAGGGGAAAGACACACAAGTCATATGTAATTTCCAATGATTTGTTTCTCATGTTGGTCGATCTTCCAACACGTCGTACTTTTTCATTGAGAGATTATCGACTGTGATAGTGATATGCCTTGCGATTCTCTCTGCAGTCAACATTCCTCTTTTTTGGTTCAGTACGGCTACGAAATGTGGGGGGGGGAGGTGGGCATTTTGCACCTTTTGGTAGTTGCTATCGAGGTGTTGAGCCATCTAGAAGAGCTATTCCATGAGCTTATAAGAGCTGACAGGTTCTATGATGGTGGCTATACGAGCTTTCCCAAATTCACAAGAGTTCACAGGTTTCAGCAGAGTGAGACTTATAAATCGGTCGGCACGAAGTCCTCTTTTTTCCCTGCTGAACTGATGCATGTCTCTAATATGCGGCAAAGAGTACGTGAGAGTGGGACTTTCAGTATCTTTCTTTATCGTGCAGTGTTTCTCGGAATGTCCATCCGTGATGTCCTAAATATGGCATCTTTACATCTCAGTCCAAAGACAGCCCTCGCGCTAAACCATTTCGTGGGCGTCCTTCCTTACACAGGTAGTCTGATCCCCACTCTCTAAGGTCGTCCCATTTTCGCGTCTTCGCAACGAGTAACGGAGGCGCTGTGGCTCTTACAAGTGGCAGTTTTGACGCCTCCCTAGTTGCCCCGCCCACCGAAACTCCCCCACGGCCCGTCGAAGACTATCTTATGTCACGAGTTCAGTTTTTGGACTTGTTTTTCTCTGTTAGATGGTATTAGGAATGGATGAAGCGAGGAAACGACAAGTGATCTAGAGGCGATAGAATATCGCTTTGCTGGCATAAAACGAAGTTGGCCCTGACAACTCGTACAATGAGACTGCCAGGGGGTCTTTACGCGTGTTTTATGATTCTTTTTTTCTGACCATAAGTTGCACTCGCAATAAGCTTGTAACATGCACCTTCAAGCGTTTTCACCTCCTCTCGTCCACTTTTTTCCAGTATCACTTCTCTCTCCAATAATTTGTTGTTGTTTTCCCGAAAAGTATGGTCCTTGCCAATTGTTCGCCCTTCAACGAGAATTCATAGTTGATATAGTCGCTATACAGTCAGGCGGCGTCAAAAGAACCACCATAGCTGCGTTTCAACCAACAGTGACGGCCATTTGGTGGGATATCAGTGATGAAAATGCCGTGGATGAACTCGTTCCACGCCTCCTCACACCGCCGCACCGTATTGCGGCGATATCAACCAGATTATCTAGATGACATCTTGGTTCGGTATTGACATGCGCAGTACTTGTATGTAATCGTGATTTTAACGATGAATCTTGTCCAAGAGTTTGAGAGTGCTCGAAGAGGAATTCTTTGAAGGATCAGATATGATCTTTTCGGAAGGTCTCGAGTACTCCATCGATTTTAGCAGGAAAATCGGGACCGGTGCGTATGGAAATGTGAGTTTCGACTTATAGCGAGTTTTACAAGTTCCTATTGTGTCCCTAGTGCAGGTTGGGTTGGGGATAGGCCCTTCCCCTCCCACTGTGAGAGGCACTTATCTAAACCATACGTCGCGCCGTGCCCAACTTCCGTCGAGAGTTGGAATGTGCAGTCTGTTCCCTCACAGATGAATGAGGAGTGGCAGATGGCCCTGAGTTTTTAGAGCGCTGCCAGGCACTGTTTCTACACGATGTGGAGCGAGTAAAGCGACAGCAAACGTTTGAAGAGCGATGTAGGCAACATGATACAGTTCCTGATGCCTGCCGAAACGGAAAAAAAAACGGATAGCGCCGCGCCAATGCCCCCCCCCCGTTGACACACTCCATCATGTGCAGGGCGAAACACTATACGATTAGATTCCCGTCGAGCCTTCATGCAACACACCCTTCAATTCCAGTACCGGTAGGATCCGGAGGAAACGAAACACTGGGGACATTTAGAGAACTTCAAAAATCCCGTTATGCATTCTTTTCTTTTGTTTCTTCTTAGAATCTTCTTTTTGTGCAGGTGCATCCGGGAAGGACTCAGTCAGGGCGAAGAGTTGCTGTCAAACATGCCAGGGACGACAAAGAAGTTCGTGCTGCTCAAAAAGAGGTCGAGTCTATCGTCGGTGTGCTGGTGCCCCGAACATTGTGAAGGTACGCGTTACTAATTTCAAGTTTGTCAACTGTGCCCATTATTTGGTCTTTCTTTGACAAGGTTACGCTATATCAGAAGTATTAAGTGTTTGTCCTACTTTGGTACAGGGCTGCGTTCATGCTTTGCAGCTCGGGGTTTTGAGAGGCATAGAGATTGATTAAGCGTTGTTGCATGGGGATTGATATTCTGAGTGCTTTGAAGGTGACGCTATACCTATACTGTCCTTTTTAATCAAGCCGTCGCCGTTTCCGACGTCGGTGTTTCTCACGAAACGCATGATTGACATACACTCCTTCTTATCGCCCGGAACGCTTAAAGATAGTTCCCGCGATAAAGTGTCATGGATAGTTGCTGCTCATCATGAAACAGTAGCTGATAAGTAACTCTCCTCAAGGAAGAAAAAAGCAAGAAGAAACCTCAAGAACACCATAAACAAAATCGCTGCCCTGACAGTCACACCGCCCTGCGGTCTCTGGGGCAACCCCTGGCTCACAAATCCTTTTCTCCGCATCTCCCAGCTGCTTAATATATCATCGCAATGCAAAGAAAATAATACGAAAAACAAGAAAAACGCCACAACGGAAAATTCGTTATGAAAGACAAACTTTCCAAAAACTCAAAAAAAAAACGAAAATTTGAGGGGTAAAACGGTAGCGTGCATCTTTCAGTGCAGTCGAACTGTTGCACCAAGAAAATGTATCACTCGTGATTTTTACACGTCTTACCTTTCGAGAAGGTTGCAGTTGACTATGAATAAAATGCAATAAAGGAGAGCAACATTGCTTATGGGCACGAGCGTAGGTCGGGAAAAGGACTTGAAATTCCGATTAATTCCCGCCGCCCCAACAAAGAAGCCAACTGAGCGGCTCTCTGTCAGAGGGCATCCAGCAAGTGCAGCAAGTGGGCGGTCCAACTGAGCGGGCATTAGAACTAGAACTTTCAGCAGCCGTAGCACGCTCCTCGCTCGTTGTGAAGTTGCGAGAGTGGGACACTCTTAGCTTGGGGGCTGGACAACTTGCACCAGGAAGGAGCACAGGGAAGGACGACCATGAATTACTTGAGCGCGGGGGCCGTCTTTAAGAAGCTGACACAAAATATGAACGCAGCCTAAGAAAGTGTTGGGTGAACAAAAGCCGGAAAACATGAATACGTTGACGCGCAAGAATATTTTTCTCATGAATTCCCCTGTTTTTAATGCAATGCCATGCGTGATTTGGAAATGATGATTTTCACTAACAATAGCAGTACCGACACATAAATGGGCAAACGGCACACTCCCTGAACGGCTTTCCAAATTTGCTATGGAACGTGCATGTATTCTCTTGATAGTTTGCTGAAGAAGGTTAGAAATTTGCGAGGACTCCCCAAAGAAGTCATAATTGATCTCCTATGTGACTCAGGTATTGATATTAGTACTTTAATATCAGGAGCAGGTACCCATCCAGTTTGTAGTGTTTAGTCTCTGCTCTAACGACATTGAAAGAGCGTGGCATAGCTCATCGTGATATCAAGCATCTTAATATTTTGGTATTCCCTGGGTCAACAAAAGGAAGAAGGTAACATCTCTATTCCTCTCGTGTTGTCCCTTAACAAGAATTTCTGTTGATTTTCTGAATTGTAGGTCACAATATTTATTCAAGTTCTGTGATATGGGTGTTTCGAGTTTTGTACATGAAGACGGAGTAATGCAAACACTTGTCGGAACACCTAATGCTTTGGTAAGTTTCCTTCACAAGTAAGTTCTCCTTCACAAGAGTTCAAAATGGAGGCTACTACAGTAAAACGCGAGGTTCCTCCTCTCTTCTTAGAAGTCTGGTCGTCTGCGCTCTTCATGGATTGAACCTTCGAAGGAAAGGGGATCAGGCCCTGCTGTCCCTTTACTGCCCCAAATCAAGCTAGTTTCTTACCGATTTTTTTCAGACAGATTTGGCTAAAAACTCGCTCTCAGGGATAGATTAACCCGCTAAACATGAATTCACATCCGCTTGGCGCGAAACCGCCAGTAGCTCGTGTTACAGGCAGCGACACAACGCTCCTGCTTTTATTCCGGCGCGTGTAGTGCGGACTGCAGGGTTTTTCGAGTGGTGCGCTCGAATGGTACGGCAGTTAGGGAAACAAGGTGAGAGAGAAAAATTATCCTTTTTGCCAAGGTTCAGCCTTAGCAGAGGAAGGATCAGTATCCCGGGGAAGGTTCAGACGAGCAGAAGCAGACCGCTCTGCGACGTGTACCCTTTCTCTTCACGAGGGTGAAAAATTTATCTGCGAAGGGTGTCCTTCCCATATGTGAGGTTAATGGGTCCTTAATGAATAGGTTTGCAGACGGGCTAAGTATGGAAACGGCAGCCGGGCATCACTACACTCCAGCCCCATTTCCGTGGACTTTTGAGCGCAAAAAAGGTTGCGCCCAACTGCAGTTACGGAATCATTCAGCCCGCACCGTGTCAGGATACTTGTCAGCCGCGGAGCCTCCCTACTCCTTCCTTTTTTCCTCCTCCTTCTTTCTTTTCTTTGCTTCCTTCTCTCTTCCCGATTCTTTTCGTTCTCCCTTCAACTGCTCAGTCGGTAGCT